ACACCTAAAATCTAAGGATATGTATAGCTGAGTCTTTTTCAAATCTATTTCCTCCTCCTCAGGACTAAAATACAATAACCCAGGATCAACCAATCCTAATGGAAGTTCTTCTCTTTTTCTTTTAAAAATGAAAAACCACTCTTTTTTTCAGGAAGCCCAAATAACAAAGCCCATTAGACTTTTTTTTTTTTTTTTGGAAACAATGTGAACTGAATAAAGCCAGTAAACAGATCTAGATACCTCAATGACATGAAACCGCAAACTTAGACTCAGTATCAAAACCTTAAAATGAACCCCTCCCTCTCTTTTTAAATAAATTTAACACTCCAAAGTATTTCTGTATTCACAACATAGGAATTACTCTTTGCAACAGAAATCTCAGATTTTCTCGTCCACATCTGGGTGATTCCAGGTTGCTAGGTGAAGTATAGAAACAGAAGGATAATTCATTTGAATAAATTTGTCATCCCAAAGGTTGGTGACTTACTGCCATAAACACTTAGGAGAAAGGTGTCAACTTGAAATGGTACAGAGAAGTGCTAACCATAAATATTTGTGTAAAATATACATTCACACAACTGTAACTGTGGCAAATGCAGAAAAGTACACTGGAGCTTCATTAACTTCACTGATTGGAAATTATAACATTCTGGGAATCAAACAATAAAAAATTCAAAGATGCTATATCCCAAACTATGATAAATCATTTATTTTGACAAGTAAGGGTAGTTTAGTTTTAATTATTTATTATTATACTTCGTAGCATATCAGAAAATATGCAGTGATTTATTGTGCAAAATGAAATCTTAATAAAACGAGTCCCTTCCCAAAACTACAGGATTATTAAATCTTCATGGAAATGCGAGGTGAACTCTCAGGGTATTTTCGTTATCGAGCTAGTGTGTTAGTAAAGTGAAAATAAGCAATTCCTATTGCATTTAGTTATATTTTGACTTCAGCCCTTCACATACCCAAGCCGTCCAAGTCACACAACCTGGGGGACGAGGAGAAGAACAGAGAGGGGTAACAGACCCCGCCGCCGCAGCCCACAGCTCTCCTGGGGTCCTGCAGATGATGCAGTCGCATCTGACTGCTGAAGCAAGCGGGGGCTATTGGCTTCGGGCTTACACCCCTGCTAAAGCCACACGTCGTGAAGCTAACGGCCCCTCGAGGCAGCCGTAGGTAGACCAGCCGTTTTAATGTGCCGTTCTTGTCCTTTTTGTTCTGGTTTATACCCCTCAAGACCTCTCAACTGGAAGGGTCACTCCACATGCCACCACTGACACCCACCTCCCAGCCAGGACCCGTCTCACCCTGTGAGGGTGTAAATCGGTGTACTTAAAATCACTCTGCTTGGGCTTTGTCAGTCTGAATGAGACTAGCCCTGCTGCAAAACCCCACTGAAACTCTTGGATTAACCACACTGAGTGCCTGGATTAGCAGCTGAGAAAGGGCTGTCATCCCAGCGGCCACCACATCGCTCCCTCCAGCAGCCGCCTCCAAACCCTCCACCCCAGCTCGCTCCGCTCAAGTGACGGATTTTTTTCTCTCGTTGGTTAGGGTTAAGCTTTGGACCAAAATTCAGTTTAGACCTTGAGTTAACAACACAATGGAGAGAAACAGCTTTGCGGTCACTACCCCTTTTTCTTTCTAAGCAGAAAATTGCAAAGCTCACTGGTATTTAAAGGTAATTATTTCTATGAGCTCGTAATTTCTTCTGGGGATGATAGCACACAAACAAGCCCAGAAAGCTCCTGCACGAAACAATCTGAGGATCCAAATGAGGCAAAAACAATGGGAGAAGAGAGGTGATGGAGTCTGAAGACTAAGGATGGTCCACGAAGCTACCATGCTTCACCCAGCAGGACACGAGGGTGGGAGTTACATCAGCTCTGTCCTCGTGGCTTCTACCACCCAGAATACAGACACCTGGATCAACGTCAGTGAGTACATTCACCCGCTCCTTTTACTGCAGAACTGGAGGGGGAAACGGCACTCCCCACCTCTTAAGAGTCAGAGGAGTGTCCTCTCAAAGCAAGGAAAGTTCAGAAATGACAGCTCTGGATTTAAAAAGGGCAGTAAATGAGAAAGGGATTTTCAAGAAATATCAGACGTTTAAAAATTTACAGCAAATATGTTTCACATTTTCAGTGGAAACATTTTGCTGTTCTGTAAATCTCTGCTCTGAATCCCCGTCGTTTGGGTCAGCGCTAATTCCAGAGCAGCAAAACATCACATCAAAATCAGCAAGGCAGTCTGTCCTCAAAGTAGGAGCCACGCTGAGCATTACTCTTTAAAGGTGGCCTTAGTAATGGGGAATAAGTACTTACGTAAATGGTAAAAGGAAATGTTAATTTGACTATTAAATACATAATTACATTAAGTACTTGTTTCTGCAACTGTAACACTTCAGCCTGATGCAAAACTCACTTTCTGGCCTGTGCAATGGATTTAATTTCTTCCAGGGTTTGTTTTTTTTTTCTTCAACTATAAAGAGGTAAAACACGTGAATTGCTGCTACAAAGATTACTTAGTTATAATTTATAGCAGTGTTAAAGGTAAAGCATCGCACAAGACAAGGACTAGGGGAACGAAGCCCCTGCGGCAGCTCGGGGCTCCGGCTCCTCCGCGCGGGGGCTTCCCCTCCCTGTCCCCGCCGGGGCCGCACGCTCCCCGCACACCCCTCAGCTCGGTGCTCCTGCTCTCCCGTGTCTTGTTGAGCTCTGCCAACTTGCTAAACCCACAGAAAACGAACCTGGCCCCTTCACCCCAGATCGACGCTTTCTTGCAGAGTCACTGAGCTCAGCGGGCTCCATGAAGGGTCCCCCCAGCTGCGAACGCTGCTGTGAGGGAGGGGAGAGGAGCCCAGCGGGCGGGAGGGGGAAGCAGAGAAGGGGGAGATGGGGAAAGGGAGATGGCATCACCTCTTCCGGCGTTACAACAGCTTGGGTGAACTGCACACCGATGTTTACAGACTGATCCAGCATTTGCTGAATTACAACCAAACGAAGAAATACGCACATAAGCAGTTAGAAATTTTGACTAACTTTTCAAAAAAACAATAAAGTTAAAAACCCCCCACATTGCAGGTTTGTTCCAGTTAGATAGGAAAACATCTTTAGCATTTTTGTATAAACAGATATATTCCATTTAATATGGCAATGAGGAAATCGGCAATACCTGTTCTTTAACAACAACCACCTTTCTACTCAGAGAAAAGAAAACTACTGGGTAAATCATTGCTACAGCTTTGCAAAACGTACTGCCTTTGCAAAAATCACAAAATAATTCTACCAAAACATCTTTAACACCTACATCATTTCTAAAAAGTCTACAGATTTTCAAATAATTACTAGCACTTTCATAAATATTTAATGCTGTCTACAACAGCTCTTTGACAGAACTAAAAACCCACTGTGCAAACTCCAATTTTCTTTTACTGACTAAATAATCAACCCAACAACTTACAAATCTGCCTTCTGCTTCATTAGTATTTTTCCAATTTATGAAGAGCTAACGTAAAGGACACTATACTTGCTTACGCTTGTCAGCTGCACCAGGGGAGTGGGGGGGCTGAAAGGCGATCTAGCAAAAGGGAAAAGACAAACCAAAGCTGGAAGGGGAGTTAAGTTTTTAAGAGGATCAGTGACCTGGTTTGGCTCGTGGGGCGGCTCCACAACCACTACTGACAGCACCAGGCGCGCAGCAGGACCGCTTGGTGGGGAAGGAAGTGCAAGTGTCCTTCCTGGAAGTGACCCGCTCTTAGGTAAGCTTCAACTGGACTATAAAACCATAACCTGAGAGACTTAAGAGCTGTAATCTCTGATCTTACCTGACAGGGGGATTAATGAATCATAGAACCATGGAATAGTTTGTGTTGGAAGGGACCTTCCAACACAAGGTTGGACTAGACCCATCTAGTCCAACCCCCTGCAGTGAGCAGGGACATCTTCAACTACATCAGGCTGCTCAGAGCCCTGTCCAGCCTGTCCTGGAATGTTTCCAGGGACGGGGCATCTCCCACCTCTCCGGGCAACCTGGGCCAGGGTTTCACCACCCTCATGATGAAAACTTTCTTCCTTGTATCTAGTCTAAATCTACCCTCTTTTAGTTTAAAATAGTAACCCCTTGTCCTATCGCTACAGGCCCTGCTAAAACATCTGTCCCCATCTTCCTTACAATAAGCAAATGCCCGGTTGAGGTTTCCCTCTGTGAAACCATCACCCACTGCACATATCACCCATGAATCCTGCACGTCCATACACATCTCCTTCATCACCTCAAACAGTCACTCAAAGTACAGACTGGACCAGAAGGACACTTTGCTTGGGTGCTGGGTTTGGTTTTTTCACAAACTTTTTATTTTAAAAAGCTCAATACGATTGTGCCACCTTCTTGGGAGAGTGTTCACTGTCAGGGAACATGGGATAGACATTTCACAGGCTACCAGATTAGCATCTGCAGGAACAAACTGCAATTCCTTTGTTCTCCTGCATGGCACAGTCTGATCCAACCCTCGCTAAAAGCTAACATGCCAATAAAACATATCAGGAAAGGAAGGAAAAAGAAAAGTCCAGATAAGTCCACAAAAGCTGGAGCTGCAGCAGAAGGTTAGGCCTCCCCAGGTCAGGCTGCTGGCAGCCCTGCCACTGCTGCAGGGCAGAGGCCCTTCAATTTGGGTTAATCAGTTACTCTGCATGTCTGAGTAGAGGCCAACATGATGGGTTTAGAAATGTTAACCCAAGAATAACTATAGTGGGAAACTTAAGTTTAAATTATTAGAAAGTAAGTACATGGCAAGGACTACTCTACTGCGCATACAATCCTTACAGGGTATCCCTCAAGAGTTGTATTGTTCTCTAAATTTGCATATTTTCTTACTCTACACAGTTATGACTGCTAAGTGCATATAAAAGAACTGTCATGCAATCCAAGAGAAGGAAAAAAAAAAAATCAAAGTCATACTTAGAATTTTATGAGGGCCTCATTTAAAATCCTACCTGATTTGCTCTTTCAAGGTCTGTCATGATCATCTCGATTTCATCAGCCCTGTGAGAACAAGAGAGCAGTACTGTTATCACATGAAGAATGCCCGCTACATGAGTTCATGCACAATATAATTGCAACATCCATACAAACAATCCCAATTTTCAGTATTTTTTTAAAAGGCCACAGTAAGACTGATCAGCTAATCTTTTAACTGGTGAAATCCTCTTGGGTTTCAGCTCCGTGGACTGGTTTGCAAGTCTCCAATTCCTTTGCCTGTTCCCTTTTTGCAACGAAATAAGCATTATCGATATCTGAGCATATTCATTAGATCTTTGAAGACCTTATTCCCCAGCCTCCTACAGAAGGGCAGTGTCATCTTTCCTACATGTAAAGATGTTTCACAAGTGATAATTATGGAGAAGTCAAAGACTACAGTTCTTCAGTCAACTACTTGAGAATGCATATATAAATGCATATACAAAAGTAGCCTGTTAACTCTTCTGTTTCAGTGCCTAAAGTTTGGTTCTAAATTTGTCTCAAAAAAAAAAAAACAACCATGAGGTCAAAGAGACCAAGAAATACAATTTTACATTATGCAGAAAAGAGTTTTTTTGACACAAATTTATGAAACTCTAAATTTAGGCTCAGGCTCTTAATGCCGTTTCCAAAGCTGAATAGGAAAGTCAAAGGGTTGAAAACTATACAAATAGTCAAGCAAAAGCAGATCCTTCACATACGTGTGCCGGGTGGCCGCTACCAGCCCTGACCCTTTAAAAACTCCAGCATTTCTAAGGCTTCACTCACGCAAATGGATCCACTCCTTAAGCAAACTTTTTATCATCAAGCTGAATCATGGGCAAATACCTCACACTCATGCTCACCTGTGAAAGGTACCAGGAAAAGGGCCTACAGGCCTAAAAGTATGTTCTGTATCGATGTAAGAAGACATATTACTTCTCCCCAGACATTTTGTCTGTCTTGTATCTCTGGACCATATGGAAGCAATAAACACTATCCTCCTCTCCTATGAACAGCAGCTTTAACCAGCAAGTCCTTTTGCAATCTGCCAACACCATAATGTCTGTTTTTTTGTTTTTAATCTGTAGCAGATCATTATCAGTAAAAGCTGTGAAATACTGGAATTCCCTTCCTCTGCTGATGCAGAAATGTCAGGGTTTGTTTTTCTGCCGATCCCACAGAAGATCCATTCTGCTGTGCAGGTGTTGGCCGGGAAAGATGGTTAATTGAAGTACATCAGGGTTCTGGCGCATTTGACACTGGATCATTACACTAAATACTGACTGACTTCTTCAACAGCATTTTAGGTTTCTGCGTGCACACTTAGGGAAATGCAGTAAAAGATCATAATAAGTAAATGTGTATGTATATAAATTAATGGAAAATTATTTTTAATTACAGCCTTTAATGTTGTCGAGGCAACATGAATTGCCTTTTGAAAAAATCTTTTGGACAATAATGGAAAACAGATTAACATGTGTTTTCTTGTGCAGGAGAAGCTAATGTGCTCTTACATTGGAAAGAAATCAGGCACATGACATTTTGAATTAATAATAAATAATAGACATTAGTTACCGAATTGAACAATCACTTCTTGGGCAAATAAGGACTCCAAGTGTGCAGGGAGTCACCAGAAGACTAACCTGGACAGGTTAACATAAGCCTACCATAAGACTTTCCACCTCTTTAACCTCTGCAGTTGTCAAACACTTTTTGTTTCAGACTCCAGCCCCAAAATACTTGTTAATACACTTATGTAAATCACAGTATTTCAACATGGGAATGATGTCCCTAAGACCATGCAAGTGACACTGTTATGTATCTGTAACAGAAATAAGAGGGAAGAGAGCGACCTACTGTGCGCACGCGCACACACACACACACACACACACACACACACAAACAAAAGTGTTCCCCAGCATTTTACAAATATTTTTAACCAGGATAGTTTAAGGATCCTCTTTATATAAGCTTATGCATTCAGAGTGAATTTATGTGTGAATGCCTCAGGTTATATGGAGCCAGTGAATGATGTCTGGATTATGTCACATGCTTCCCAGATCAGAGCTGGGAACGTCCCATCCCAGCACGCTGGCTACAGCTTAAGCGAATCCAGTTTCCGCTCGCTTCTCTGTAGGGTTTGGAGAACAGTAAAACCACTGCCTTTCCTCCCAAAGAGGGGGTGCCAGGTATCAGCCAAAGGTCTGAAAAACTGCAGAACTTGAGAAGAGCGAAAGACTTGGAAACACAGAACCCTCGGACCGGGAGGGGAGGAGCGCCCTGCTTTGGGAGCAGAACTGTTTTTCAGTTCAGCCAAGAGAACCGTGGGGTTTTTTTGAAGAAAGGATGCCTCTGATGCAGAAGAGATGAGCAGGAAGGGGCAGAAGTGTGAGGGGGTCGGACCTGTCAGAGCACCCTCAGCCACCTTTAAAGGTCAAGGGAAGGGAGCCATGGGTAGAGAAACACGTGGAGACAGCAGAGCGAGAGAAGGAACGGAGGGACAGCCGAGGCCCAAGGGCCCAGGGAGGTGGGACCAGGAGCAGTAAAGCAGAGGAGCACCCGGGCCAGCAGAAAGGTGCGTGGCGGCCAGTAAAACAGGCTGAAACACAAGATGGCACCTGAAACACAAGGTGGAAGGACTCAGGACAACCCTGTATTTAAAATGGACAGAAGTATTAATACCAGTACTGGTATGCCATCCTGGCTGGGGTCAGGATTTAAGAGCTCTATTACAGCATGGTATACGCAGCCAATTACAAAAAATGCGACTGAGGATATAGAACGCCATAAAAACGACATTTCTGCCCTTCAGCGCGCACAGATAATTCTGACTGAATCCAGCAGAAGTGTCAAACTGTAGCCAAGGGCAAAATTGCCCCTTTGTCCTTGTATCCAGACACACCAGCTGACCGATCCTGAACTCCCCTTTTCCTCATACAGTTTTTCTACCTAGCCTTTCCGCACACAATCTGTCTCCGCACACCTAATGAAAGGATGCAACATCTCCAGAATATTCAAGCAAAACATCTCCAGACTAGCAGTCTGCACGCCAACGGAGGTTAATGCTGCAACCATAAATGTTATCTTTAAGTAAAGTAATGAATTAAATTACTCTATATTCTTTCCTAGCACAAGTGTCAACAGCATTCAGAAGAATCTTCAAAAGAAATTCAGTCTTTTCATTTTAAAAGCTCCGCTACCACATCAGTAGCTGGCACTCAGCAGTCTAAAATCACTTATTTGAGAAAGTCTCTAATAGCTCCATTCACTGTTTGCTCAGCAGTATTTATTATAAAATAAATTACAGTTCTCACACCTTTTATGCACGCACAGAAACAACTTGCATTGATTTATTGTTTACAAAGCACCGTGTTGAATTCAAACCTGCAAGGTACGAGGAAACTCCACTTTGGCTCACGGAATTAGTCCCACACAGGTCATTTTTGATGTATTCACCATCCACCACATTTGCTCATTTTCAGCCCTTCCTACTTCAATATTTCTCTTTATTTCAACGGAACTACTTGACAGGCAAAATACCATCCAGCTCAAGCCTGCCGGCATCTTGTCCTGCAGCTTTTCACTGAAAATCTGCTGGGAACCTTGAAAGGCACAATGGCCAAGCTTTGCAACTCCGTGGTTATACTGACCCTAAATTTCTGACCAAAGTAATTCCATGTGAACCGAACCCACTTATGCTGGTCACACGTCTGATGATTTTACTTTTAAGTTTCTTTGTTCCTGAAGCAACACGTGACTTGGCCTCTTGTGAGTGCCTGGATTCCCCCATCACCCCAACAGTTGAAGGCAAGGAGAAAAACCCCAAAGTTCCGTCTGTCTTCGACAGATACGGAGAATGAGGGTAATTAGTAACAAGACCTTTTGCTAAAACACACTGATATTTACAGTGTTTTACAGCAGATTTCTACATTGCAACCCAACATTGGGTTTGTCAAGGGCGATACTATCTTAACATTAAAACAGATCATGAGGAAAAGAGTGGGTAAAAGCTGTTTTCAGGAACAAATATTATCTACCCTGTGTTTTCTTATTCCACAGATAGTATCATCATTTATCTGATCTAATTCCTTATAATCTCTGTGTTAGAGGAAAAGTAATCATGTAAGCAAGACAGTTGTTCAGTCTGTAGTACAGATGGCTTGTTCTAAGTTTCAACACTTTCAGGCTAAGGAATTTAGGAAATCAAATTTTAAGCCCAAGCATTTGGAGCTACAGAGTAAGTGTCACCAAGTAAAAAGAATCTGAACTGTTGAAACAGCATGACCATGAAATATCCTATTATTTCTTCTCTTGCTACTGTGTTTGAAGTGAAAACCAAAATGCGTTAAAAGCTATAGATTTTGCAAGGTATAAGCTTTTACCAGTCATGAAAGAGCCCTCAAAGCTAACATGCCATCTATAAAAAAACCAACTTAAGGAGTTTTAAAAAAAACAACAAACCACCCCACTTTTCAATTCAATTGCTTATGGGAAATAAAAACCACAGAAAGGCTCAATTTTCTTTTTAAGATCAAGATAACCGATTAGGTTTGAACAGCATAACAAGCAAGCAAATTCAAGAATTGGTAACACGGAAGAAGCTCGGTTCTTTTTCTAAATAAAACTAAATCAGATGAAAACCCTAAACACCATGAAGTTATTCACTTGCAAGCAACAAGAATCTGGACTTCATGATTAAAATCCAGTTGACCCAACTCCTTCATTTAGATACTAGCTTAAAGAGGCAGAAACAATTCCTTTTTTATTAACATGACAAGTGAATGGTTTGCCAAATCTTGTGGCTACAGCCCCCTAAACATTCAAACTTACTGAACCTTGAAGGAAACTGCTGTTGGATTCTTTATACATGGAAGAACTGAAAAATACAGATGACACTTTTGAAATTGCAGTCAGTGGCGTGGCCAAGAAACTTCACTAGCAGGGTAGATTAATATTTTGGTTTGGCAAAAAACAAACAACGTTTTTTCCCACACATTTGTTTTCTTTAAAAACATGTATAAGTTTACTGGTCAGAGCAAACT